TACTACTACTACTACTGATACTACTCATACTACAAGGACAGCAACCACTAGGCATTGAAAACAATCTAAAGAACAGCAAGACTAAACAGCTCGGTTGCAGTCCTGGCCCACGGCTCCCTGTAAGCCCAGAGATGGTACAGGTAGGCGGACCTGACCACCACAGGGTCTTCCCAGCGCAACTCGGTATGATTGGTCTCGTGAAACACAACTTTATGGTTCGTTGAAACATAAGACGAAGTTGCCACAATGTACTAGCAGGCAATTCCAAACGAGTCATGGCAAAGTCGGCTGCAATGATCTCAGCATCAGGCGTAGAGTGGCTTAGACACCCTTGCTCAAGCGTAAGAGCTGGAAACGAGTGGCGATTTCTCCGACGAATCTAATTCTGAGTGCTGGCCGGTGCCGGACTCTGTTGTCGCCGATCTATCTTGCAAGCCTGCATAAAGTTCGGAAAGCTGGCCAATAACAATCCGAGGACAAAGCACGAGTAGCTCGGTGGGCTTTCGCACCACGTGCACCAGCTTTGCCTTAAATCCGGGATGGACCGTGCAATGTTGTGTGCTTTGGTTGAACGGCGCCGTCTTCTTAGTTTCAAGGCTTGAAATGCTCTGACAAAAAGTAGAATCCTTGGGTCACCTTCCCACGTCGCACTCTGGTCCTTCAAACCCCAACTTCATAGACCCATACTACATAGTCCCCGGTCCCACCACTCCAAAGCTCACCCGGGCCCAGCCAAGTCGCGTGACCCTCGAGAATAAGGTCGTGAATCTCAGCACGGCAGGGGATGGAAGAAAAAAATAAACCTACTGTTATGTGAGTTCAGGCTTAGGCTTAAGAGTTCATCCCTCGTATCCACCGTGATGGCTGTGAATCGTCTGCCTGCAAAACTAGACTCTGAACAGAGGTGCGGAGCCACGAAAGCTTTTAAAAAAGCGAAGCTCGAACTCTGAAAACTCCGCAACCTCACTGAAACTACTACTTGTAGGCCACCGCAATATCGAAACCGACGAGACTAGAAAGTGGTCTTTGAACGTCCACATCGTCACGAATGATGTGCTGAGTCATCCGTTAATGAAGGCTAACCACAATAGAAGACGTCGTCGTCGCCGCCGTCACCGCCGTATAACTTTAGTGTAAGTAGAAGCACCGTAGCAGTACTACAGTAGTAGTTTTGCTGCGTCTGCTGCAGCCACTTCTCCAATTGCTGCTGTGCTGCTGCTGCGGCGGCTACTACTACTGCTGCTGCTGCTGCCACTGCTACTAATTACTACTACTACTACTACTACTACTACTACTACTGCGATGACGACGACGACTACTACTACTTAGTAGTCCACTATACTGCAACCTGCTAACAAGCTCTACTCTTTGTCGATTCCTGAGCCACCTCAGGTTCCACCATCTCATTGGGCGAGATCATCAGAATAAGCCGCCCGCGTCGCGTCTGCGGTCGAACAGTCTCAAGGTACCGGATGTAAGAACATTAAGTGTTCAGGGCAGCTTTTAGGGCTGGAAGCGGATCTAGCCAGGCCCTCATGCCTGGCTGGGAATGGAAATCGTAGATGTCTTCACAGCACATGACCTTTTTGTCTCGTCTAACTGTGTGCAGGGGACATACACACACCGAATCAAGAAGGCAGTGCTGTCTCTGAGCTGCAAATTCCTACTACAACCGTCATCGCTGCTACTGCGGGATGTGCGTCTAGCAGCCGGAACTCAAGCAAGCTTCAGAGCCCCACCCGAAACCCTTCAACACCTGGTACTGGTGCATGCCACGCTGGAACCCAGGACTCGTTCGAGTCCTTACATGGCAAGGTCGGAGCTCTGTTGCCCAAGGCTGCCATCTACGGCTTCTCTGTAATTGTAACGAAAACGCTGCGACACCGAGCAGGACGGTGAAACCCCTTGCCCTGCCACGCCCTGTGTTTTCCTGCCTTTCACCGACCTCCTCCTCTTTCTCCGCCTCTTTCTCCTCCTACTGCTACTACTGTTACGCCCCTGCTGCTACTACTTCTGCTGCTACTGCTACGACTGCTGCCACCGCTTATAAACTGCTACGGCTACTGATGTTTTCTGCTGCCGTTACTGCAATGATCCGTCGCCTGATTACCACTATACTGCTTGTTTAACAGCACAAAGTTTGTGATTTAAGCTCCAGTGATCCAATTCTCGTCGACCCCGAAGGGAAAAAATAAACCAAGGAGAAGCGTCCAGAGAGTGCGCAGCCAGTCGCCGTCTCCAGCGTCCGCCAGGCCTAAAGAAAAAATGCTGGGTGGTCCGCTTATAGTACTGTAGCTAAGACGCTGCCCCGTTTAGGGTTTGGGGTTTAGGGCTTCAGGCCGGCACCAACACCCAAAACCGACCCTAAAATCATTAGAGACAGCTCCTACCTCCCGCCTGAAACCGAACCTGACACACACACACACACCTAAGACACTGATTTCTTAAGTAGTATCGAAGGCACAGATGAGTCGACAAACATGAAAAAGACAGATCGGTAGCATTGAGGTTTGAAGATTCTCCCTTTGGCTTCTTTTTCCGCAGAATCCCTGCGGTCGAATAGCACGAATGGGAGTTGTCGAGCATGCAAAACAAATCCTTTCCGATGTTCCGACTGTCATTTGATCTTTCTGTTGGAAAGGGGGAGGACAAGAAACCTTAGCTCCAAAACCTTAAGAGCACCAACCGAACCGACCTCCAAAGAACGGCTAAAGCCCAAACCCCTGATTACAGTCTGAAGCCCGATCCAACCCCACCCCATCCCTACTCTACCCCCTAAACTGCCCTAAACCCTAAACTGCCCAAAACCCATCCTGTCCACCCCCAAAACCACCGAAACGCGCCAACAGGCAGGTCTCCGGGCCTTCGCGTCCCAGCACCCACCTTCGAAGATGCACTGAGCTTTGAAGCGCCAAGGAGAGCCTGAAACACACAGAGGAGGGATTAGAGTTTAGGGGCTCAGGGTTTAGAGTTTTAGAGTTTAGGGGTTCAGGGTTTAGGGTTTTAGAGTTTATAACTTTTGAATTTAGGGGTGAGAGAGGCCCCTGTGGAATGGGAAATCTTGGTAAGTAGCTGCCCTTCTGGGGCATAGTGGGCCCAGAATAAGCCGAAATGGCCGCTTCAATGAGGACAAATCCTTGCTTCGAGTCTTGCAAAATCCGCAGTAGACCAAAATGAGGTCCACTGCAAGTGAAAACACAAAAGGCCAAAGGGGCGTCGTTCCAGACTTGTGGTAGGTCACGAAGAGCAGGCCTCGGTAAGATCTGCCCCCAGACCCGGAAAAAAACAACAAAAGCTAACAAAGCTTAGGCCTTGCCGTTTTGAGTTTGCGCAAAGCCCGAATTATCGGTTCCATTCCTAAAGACGGCATATTACTGTCAAACTCAGGGCCCAGGGGTTCAAAGTCGGGGTCCCTCAGGAAGGGATTTATCGGGGGCTTTTTGCTGCCAAGGCCGCGGGTGGCATTCACCCACCTGCTTGGCCTCAGAAGGGGCATAGCTGCACTTTCCGCGCTTCTGGGACGTTCGGACATGGCCAAGGTTCAGATGGTTCTGATGAGCATACGGTATTGGGTTCGGGGTACCTGGGCAATGGCTGTGGCGGGACAAAGTCAGTTTGTTGGGGGCACGCGTCGGGGTAGGTTCACAAATCTGGGATAGATTCTCGTCTGCACCGACATGTATCGCAAAAAGAAATTTGCAGAGATGCACCGGCGTGAGGGAGTCTCGCTGTATCTGGGCCTTAAAACCTTAGACCCCAAACGGCTTTCGCGCAAGTTCATATCGCGGAGGCAGCCTCATGGATGTACCCCATAAGACCGCACAATATAGAGCAATATAGAGGTCTGGTCGTAATGCTATAACATTTACACCTATAATTCTCATATGGATGCCCACGAGCTCTCCCCCCCGAGTTTGACAAGTCTTTGGGGGAAATCACGACCCTCGTAGCACAATATAGACTACTGGGTCCACTCGGCATGCGCGGACACGTGCACAAATTCAAGCGAAGCAACCTCGAAGCACCACACGGGCAAAACTAAAACAAAGCATGCGTTGCGAGTGCCTCCAAGGTACTGCTGCTGTGGTTGCAGAGTCCCGTCCAACAGCGATGCCCAAAGGCCAGGGATGATGTTCGCCGGCTCCTGGGGTACCGAAGGGCCGCAACTCTAGCACCGCAACAGGTCTCCATTCTACAGGTTGCCTGAGTGCATCGGTACGAGTGCAAGTCATGACCGGCGTGCCCATGTCAAGCCCAAACAGTACCAGTATCGTCAGAGCTAGTTAATAATTAAATTAGTTTGGCAAGTTTCGGTGCAATTGAAGAACATCCTTCCGTCACCCATGTCGGTCTTTGTTCGTGAGACATTCGGCGACTGTTGCAGTGTGACCCAGTCTGCTTCAATCCTGGAGGCCCGAGCAGCAAAGCCGCGAATGCCAGCCCTGCAGCTCCTGTGCTGTGACGGCAAGCTCTTCTAAAGGAAACTACAGGTGGGAAGTTTAGGGTGTATAGGGCTTCTATAAGGCTTCTATAGGGTATATAGACCTTCTATAAGGTCGTCTATAACGGTAACTACCCACCTGAAAATGTCCTAGACTCTTGGTCAGAATCGGAGCCCAAAGACCGAATTTAGCGTCCCAAGCTCCAAAGAAACAAGCTTCAAGGTTGAGCGCTGCTCTCAAGCACCCAATCACGCTGTTCATGACCCCAATATCCGATAGATACTGAGTATAGGTTGCTGGGCGATTTTCATCTGAGAACCTCCACTCGCTAGGCCTGGAACTCATAACCATCAGAAGCTCGACAGATCTAAACCACCAGGACCCGTAAATTGCGAACTCCACATCCACCTTCAACCCTCAACTCATCAGCCAAATCTATGCCTCTACACATATGTGTATATGTGACTACAGGTGTGTATGGGTGTATATGCTGTATGTGTCTGGGCATGCGTGCATGCATATGTTCCTGTCTAGGTACATGTACATATGCATGTATGTGTCTGGACAGGCTGCATCCCCCAAACCGTGTTCTCTGACCTGAACGACTGCCATGATGCCAACGAGGAATTGCAAAGCGTTTCAGTGCAAGGCCAACTGTAGGATAGTCCAGTGTTATTTGCAAGCTCTCTTGACACAACTAGCTGGTAGCTTACACAAGATGGGTTATCGGCATTGCTACAGTGGTGCTCTTCAACCCCTAACTTTGCACGTAAATCTCTCCTGATCCTCGAACTCTCAAGCTGTATTGAAACCCTAAGCGCTACTGATACTATACTGTCCGATGTAGTTCCGTTCCGTCAGCCAACTTTGTGGCAAGGATCCCAAGGCAACCGCGAGGAAACCCTACTCCAACCCTGAAAACTGCCAAGAACTATCAGCCCTGATGTTCCTTTCGGTCTCACGAAGCCCTCCATTCCCATGGGCTCCGGGAAGCAGCTGCTACTCCCAAATCCATCGTAGCGCAGCGGATCACAGCACATCTCAGGGCGCATCGTTGATGTTTTGTGTTCGTTGCTTCTCTTAAGGAAAGGCCTGTATTCTCTGACACAGGTGGCTTGGGGTTAAGATTATTGGCTTCCGGTTCTTGTTGGGGTGCGCTTATCTTTGTCGGACACTCGCTACCATGGTCATGGTGATCATCAGCTGCACAGCATGAAAGGGCCAATGATTGGGGCTACTGGTAGACTAGCCGAGCTTAATAACTTCCCGGGGTGTTGCAGTCGGGAAAGTATGCTTGCCCAGGGGGTTGAGACCCGTTTGTTTATGAGCAAGGAACCTTGGTTCGAATTAGTTTATGCACGAAGGGTATTGCGGCTTGCTGCGGCGCCGACAGTGTTGCTGTCATGCTTCCCTAACCTCCCGGGTACCTACTATATAGGGTACTAGAGCCTATAGTAGGTACCTGGAGGGTTAGTTAGGGCTTGGTTTCCTACCATTGCACGTACTGGGTGTGGGAGCCTTGCGCCAATCCTCCTGCCCTAAACAACCCTAAACCGTAAAGCCTTGCCTCGTTGTGCTCCAGGCTGAGAGACCTAGAGCATACTGCATATAGCGGCCTTGAGGATCAAAGTATGTGTGCTTCTCTTGGAAAGGAGGGAGCTTTATAGTAATATCATTCCAAGTCTATCAGGCTGATTACCAGACCCCTACATCATTATGTCTCTTCCTGCATCTCCCGCTCGACTGCTCAAGCTGAGTGGTTGGCGGGCATGCTACATTCCAAGGTTTAGGCCGAACCTAAACCAACCTTTCGGGCAGAAGTGGAAACTGAGTACTCGAGCCCCAAGCGAGCTGACCTTTTATGGCAGGACGCACTAACATGTCTAGACATGTATCCAAGGCCATTGAAAGGAACGACATTGGAGAGCAGGTAAAACCCAGAAATATTCAGGCTTTTGCGCTGAGCCTTCCACAGCGCACCTGCGGAGAGCAGCGGGAACGAGTGGCGCGCAACCTCGCCAAGAGGCGGGCAATGCAGAAGCCATGCTAGCAGCATGCTTGTAGCCAGCAGTATTGCGAGCACTGTTGTGTTTTCTGTCTGTTCGGCTTGAACTTAGCTAGTATTGGACAGATTTTGCGGCTCACGTTCGAAGTGTGATTTACAGGGCCGGAAGCTCCCTGCTGCATGTAAGGGGTCAGGACTAAGTAGTTGTGGGTTATAGTTGGGGATCGGAATTAGCATGATCCGGGTTCATATAATGTCAAGCCCTGCGTCCACTGCTCATGGAAAGCTGAGGGTGGAGGAGTGATGGATATGGCGATCTTTCTGAGATCGAGTTCCCTGGCCAAAGCGACGACCCTGCCCGGGGATGTCTTATCATGAGGGGTACCGTAGTTCGGGACCCTCGGCTCCGACGTGTCATAGGGTTGATGTTACGATCCGACATTTTCTGTAACGCCAGACTTTGTTCAAGATTCTGCTGCTTAAGTTTCGGAGCACCAGGCGGGGAGAAGGATGCCTGGGAAACCTGCCGTCAGGAGGCTGGCCTACGTCCCGGGGTAAAGAATCCTGTGCTCAACATCCAAAACCCAACAACAAAAACAAACAAAAACACGCATATGTTAAGACCCCGCATCCTAGACCCTTCACCCAAAAGCCTTCCCCACCCGGAGCCATGTATCTTAAACCCTAAACCCCGACACCCTAAACCCTAAATGATTAAACCCATTGAAAGCCATGACACGGCACAGGACTCGGGCTCTCCGCTCTCATCAAAGCCGAAGATCTTTTGTTCCAATGCTTCTCCTCTGGAGAGAGGGCAGAGTACTGGGCCTCTAGAGGGCTTCAGGGTTTAGAGGGGTCGGGGTTTCGCATTTCGGAGTTTAGGACTACAAGAGCTTTTGAGGCTTGGGAGCTGGGAGTTTTTGGGGAGCTTACGAGTTTTGGGGGATATGGGTTGTGAGGTTCTGGCTTTCGGGGCTCGAAGTGAAGGGTTCTGGACTGAGACTCACCGCCAGAATCCTTGACATCAAACCCATGCCAACCCATGGCCTCCTGTCCTTGCTCGCAGTGTTGACGGAACTCTTGTTTAGAACCGTGAGATAATCTGCCACATATGATGTCGTACCTGCTATGGTGACATACATTGCGTTCTAGGTCGCGCGATCCAGCCGTCCAGCCCTAGGTGCAACGAGCGTGCCAGCGTTCAACACCCTAATGCCGACTAATGCCACTCTCTCTCTCTCTCTCTTTCTCTCTCTCTCTCTCTCTCTCTCTCTCTCTCTCCCTCTCTCCTCAAACCGCTACAGCCGAACCCCCAGTATATCCAGAACTCTGAACCTTGAAGCCCCCAAGAGCCTTTTTCCGAGCAAAACCTGTGGTTTCATTACTTCCAAGACCAAATATTTTTTTTAAAGAAAACGAAAGCAACGCAGGGCTCCATCAGCGGCCATAAAGCAAGTGCCGCGCAGTGCCCCGCATAGGAGCCGTGGCGGCACACAGCCATGGAGAGCTGGTGGACACGGCTACGGTAAGGGTGATTAAAGGTTTTGGGTTTGGGGTCAGGGGTTTTTGGGTGATGGTGTTTACGGCTACGGCATTTGAGGCTTCTGGACTTCAGGGCTCAGGTTTTAGGGCCTAAGTGTCTTGTGTTCTTCGGGCGTCGAAGATGTAGGGCTTCGGGGTCTTATATAGGGCTTTGGGATGTTACGTGCCGGGTTTTCTAGTTTAGGTATTTGGGCTTGTTGACGACTGCATGTGACTAGGATGTTCGCTAGAACCATGGGCTTCGCAACAACCTGGAGCTGCTACAGTGCAGGAGCGCCTTGAGCCTCTTGGTCGTTACAGCAGTGCAAGTTGGCCCAGAGCAAGGCCATACGGCTGATGGTATAAATCCTGCATTACCCATCATAAGGAATAAACCATAATTCCCGTAGTTTAGGGCCCTTAAGGTAATGCAGGATTTATATCATCAACAGTACCTGACTTCGTCAGCTCGTACTATCAATTGATGGTCCTACGTGATGCCACTTGGCCACGTAGGCTCCGAGTCTACCACCAGAAGGGTAGAGGGAACAACTGCCCGAGCTTCTCATAATTCTACATGTGCAGCTTTGTTCGGGGAAGCGAAAATTGGCAGTCCTGCCGCACGTTTCGAGCCTCTGCAGGTAATTCTTGAATAGGTGATTGAAGTGTGCAGACGAGCATAGAAGCCAGTGTATAGCACTGGCCTAGAATGTGAGTAGCCAAAGTCAGCAACAAGTGAGTAACAACAGTGCAAGTGGGTTTGATACCATGGCTAGAAACACTGGCAGTGTGAAGCCAACAGCAGCAAAAGGTATCAACGCACGAACACACCTGAAATGCTGCTTGCCAGGCAACCGAATCTGCCTTTGAGCCCTGTGCTCACCCAACCACAGAATCACTAAAACAACACATCCAGAACCCTAAACAACCTATGTCCCAAGGCTTACCCAGGACCTGGCTTCCAATTTCGACGATAGGGTGAGAAGCGGATCCTGCCAGATGGGCCAAAGTTCTGACTGAGGAGACTGAACCATTCAGTGCGTTTTACACGGGATTACGAGGGTTCGGAACTGCTTTTCTGCTGCGTTTTGGGGATCAGGGGACTCAGCAAGCGGGTCATCAAGACAGCTTCGCCTAGCTCTAGTTAGGCTAGTCATATATATATATATGTGTGTGTGTGTTATATATATATATATGTATATTCATGGGCTTGCTTGTCAACCTGTCTTCCAAGTCCCCCGATCCTCCCGGACTCGCTCTCACTGTGGCTTTACAGTTGGCTTATACAAGGTTCCCGGCCCGAGTGTGGGGTTTAGGCTTGGCGCATGTGGGCCTTATCGGTGGCTGAGGAATTCATTCTGGAATGAACTTACATTGAGTCAGTACAAGATGCTCGCCATAAGAGGCGAAGCGAGTCAGATCGCTAGAAGTCGATTCCGATACAGCACAGCGGGCACCAATAAGTTGAGCAGAGTGTTGCTTAGGGATGAGGGTCTATGATGAGGATAGTGTAATTCATACAAGGCTTGATTTGCAAATGAACATCAACGCATACCCGGACCTCGTGCTGGATGGGAATGGAATAGCCTCAGATCTGGTGCAAGTGCAGGAAGCTCCCGCAAACCGGCAGCAAGCACCAGCAGCGCGTCATTCCCGTGTCCAGTCTGTGATGCTTGCGACTCTGGCTCACAGACTTGCCTATCTTTGCTTTTCAAACACTCAACTTTCAAGCATAATTCGCCTCGGCGCCGCCCAAAGCAGTCGGAGTATCCAGGGGACCCATACTCCCCCACCCCACCCTCCCCTTGCCGCACGCCGCCTGCTGGCTCGGCTCTTTGCTTTGCATTTTGCCTCGATCCGCCCTCTTCACTTGCGGCCGGCCGAGGCGGACGACGCGAAGCGCTAGCAATTATTGATGTTGGGGCGCTACAGTATCACGCCGACGGCTTGGCCCTTGCCTGCATGTCCAACATTAAGTTGAAAAGCTGCAAGCACGACTAGGATATAGAGACTCTTCGCCGGGGTTTAGGGCCTGTGAACTTACGTCTAGCTCATCGCTCCATAGAAAGGCCCCTGATGCTCCAGGCCAGGGGCCCATGAAAGCGGCCAGACTCGCAGGGAACTGCAGGGCCTTGGCCACATCCGCACTTCTCGAAAAATCGTGTCGTTTCGGTTTGGGGTCGCTGGGGTTCGGGCTCGGCTTTCGTGAACTTAGGGAACTTAGAGTATATTCTACCTAAAAATCTTGCGATGAATAGGCCAAGTGTATGTACATGTGCTGATGTGTGCTGCGAAGTACAGTTGATTGGTGCTGATTGGGTCTGAGTGCGTCCGTACCTATCAAAATCTACACTGATCTCACCTAACTTCGCCTAACCTAGCCAAGCCTGCCCTATTCTTTTTGATCAAATGTAACCTAGTGGTTTCTGAACCTACACCTAGATCAAATGTAACCTAGTGATATCTGAACCTACACCTAGTTCTATCTCAGCCTAACCTCGGCTAATCTAGCCAATCGGTCTAACCTGTCGTATCCATCAGTCTATCTGCCCATCTCTCTCTGCATCCGACTAGTTACATACAAACATACGTACACATACGTACATGCATGCATGCAGACATGAACTCCTTGACAGACAAACAAACAAACTAACCAATACACGTGCATTCATGTATTCATGTATGGATGCGTACAGACCTACCTACCTACGTACGTATGCACGTACCTACGTACATACAATATACATACATACATACATACATACATACATACATACATACATGCATACAGACATACTTACATACATACATACATACATACATACATACATCCATGCATGCATGCATAGAGACATAGAGACATACATACGTACATACCTACGTACCTACGTACCTACGTACGTACGTACGTACATACATACATACATACATACATACATACAGACACGCAGCCATGCACATACAACACACTAGCAGAAACATGCGGCAGCTAATGCCACAGAAACCGAGCAGAACACTCCTTCTGACTATACACTGGTTGGCCACACTAGCCAATGCTCCAGGTATATTTGTGAAGCTGGTTATCCAACGATGCCTTGCATCGTGGCTTTCATGTTCGCCACAGTCGCTATAAGAGCCGTGCTGGCAGGGGAGAAAGGGATGACCACAACAATGCCAATTTGAACCAGCAATGTGCTGCAGGGCTACGGTTTTCATGGTATATATAGCTGGTTTTAGGGTGGTTACAGCTGGGGGGGGGATTCTTGCTCACAATTTTTCCGTTCACCTCTGGAGGTCTTGCTGCCACTGAAGCTGTCCATTTCCTCCCGCTTTGAGCTTAAAAGGTTCAACGAGCTGCGGACTGTTCGATGTTGACTTCAAAGACTCCGAATCATGAGAGGGGGTTGTGAACTCAGACCAGCCCTAAGTGCCGTGCTGGAATCTGAAGCGGCGCAAAGTCCTTGGCAGCTCGGGTTGAGTCTACAGAGCCTCCAGGTATGCCATCAGGACCTGTTTCTGAGACCATGCTCAACTTAGCATGCCAGCTGACGCACCACTGGTTCGTGCCCGGAGCCGCAACCCGGAGACTAAGACTCAGACTGCAGCAGGGTTTAGGGCTGAGGGCTGAAGGAGCCCAGGACTCTAAGCCTCAACCCCGAATCCTTTGTTCTATGGAGCTGCCCACGCTCTGAAGTTCCCCAAAACTCTGAATCCCCCAGGTAGCTATACAAAACACACCCACTCACCCGCCCACACCCACCCACCCACCCACCCACCCACACACACACACACACACAGAGAGGCAGAGTTCTGAGATGCTCTGAGAACCGAGCCGAACTTCGCACCTGCAATCTTGGAAGAAGCGGGTTTTGCGATTTTAGACGGTTTATCGGCAGTCATATTTTTCTCTCACATGCTCCTCCTGGCACGAGTTTGGCACATCGAGAAACTTCTTCCTCAGAGTGCTGCAGGGGAGACGGGACTCCCCGGACAGGCGTTTGCAAATCTGAATTATGTAGACTTCAGGCAGGAACTGCAGGCCGCTTCGTGTCCGCACTCTCCGCCAGAAAATGTCTTTGGAAAATACCCGCAGAAACTACGTATGGCTACACATATGGCATGAAAATGCACTCCCTTGCATGCTCTTAGAGCAGCTGTGCCGTTGCCAGGGCCGCCGCGGCAAATCCGACCACCTCCATGCTTGCATCCGACGTCGACACGCCGGCGGTGGTGCTGGTGGTTGTGCC